GACCAACTGGCCTGATGGTCCAATGGACCCGTTGGACCAACTAGCCTCTTGGTCAATTGGATCCGTTGGACCAACTGGCCTGTTGGTCCAATGGACCGGATGGACCAACTGGCCTGCGGGTCCGATGGACCGGCTGGACCAACTGGCTTGTCGGTCCGATGGACCGGCTGGACCACCTGGTGTGTCGGTCGGATGGACCGGTTGGACCAACTGGCCTGTCGGTCCAATGGACCGGCTGGACCACCTGACCTGTCGATCCGATGGACCGGCTGGACCACCTGGCCTGTCGGTCCGATGGACCGGCTGGACCACCTGGCCTTTCGGTCCGATGGACCGGCTGGACCACCTGGCCTGTCGGTCCGATGGACCGACTAGACCACCTGGCCTGTCGATCCAATGGAGCCATTGGACCATCTCGCCTGTTGGTCAAATGGAGCGGTTGGACCAACTTGCCTGCCGGTCCAATGAAGCCACTGGACCAACTCTTCTACCGGTCCAATGGACCGGTGGGACCCACTGACTCGTTGGTCCAATGGACCGGCTGGACCAACTGCCCCATTGGTCGCCTCTTGGTCCAATGGACCAGTTGGACCAACTCGCCTGTTGGTCCAATGGACCGGTTGGACCAACTGACCTTATGGTCCAATGGACCGGTTGGACCCAGCCTGTCTGTCTAATGGACCGATTGGACCAACTGGCCTGCCCGTAAAATGGACAGGTTAGACCAACTCGCCTGCTGGGCCAATGGAGTCTTTGGCCCGACTCGTTTACTGGCCCATTGGACCTGATCAGACCAACGGAACAATTGGCCTGCTGGTCCAATGGACCGGTTGGACCAACTAGCATGTTCGTCCAATTGATTGGCTGGACCACCTGGCCTGTTGGTCCCAAATAGCCATTGGACCAACTCGCCTGCTGGTCCAATGGAGCCGTTGGACCAATTCGCCAACTGGTCCAACGGACCGAGTGGACCAACTTGCCTGCTGGTCTAATGGACCGGTTGGACCAACTAGTGGTCGGTCAAATGGACCGGTTGGACAAATTGGTCTATTGGTGCAGTGGACCGCCTATTGGTCCAATGGACCGGTTGGACCAATTGGCCTGTTGGTCCAAAGGACCGGTTGGACCAACTCGCCTGCTAGTCCAATGGACCTGCTGGACCAACATGCCAGCTGGTCGAATGGACCGGTAGGACCAACTGGCCTGTTGGTCCAATGGACCGGCTGGACCAACTGGCCTGTTGGTCCAATGGACCGGCTGGACCAACTGGCCTGTTGGTCCAATGGACCGGCTGGACCAACTGGCCTGTTGGTCCAATGGACCGGCTGGACCAACTGGCCTGTTGGTCCAATGGACCGGCTGGACCAACTGGCCTGTTGGTCCAATGGACTAGGTGGACCACCTGACCTGTTGGTCCAATGGAGCTATTGGACCAACTCGCCCGCTGGTCCAATAGACCAGTTGGACCAACTCGCCTGTTGGTCCAGTGGACCAGTTGGACCAACTGGCCTGTTGGTCCAATGGACCGGTTGGACCAACTCGCCTCCTAGTCCAATGGACCGGTTAGACCAACAGGCCTGTTCGTCCAATGGACCGGTTGGATTAAAAGGACTGTTCGTTCAATGGACCGGCTGGACCAACAGGCCTGGTTGTCCAATGGTTAGACTGGACCAACTGGCCTGTTGGTCCAATTGACCGCGTAGACCAACTGGCCTGTAGGTCCAATGGACCGATTGGACCACCTGGCTTGTTGGTCCGATGGAGCCATTGGACCAATTCACCTGCTAGTCCAATGGAGCCGTTGGACCACATGACCTGTTGGTCGAATGGAGCCATTGGACCAACTCGCCTATTGGTCCAATGGACTGGTTAAACCAACTGGGCTGCTAGTCGAATGGACCAGTTGGACCAACTGGCCTGTTGGTCTAATGGACCGGTTGGACCACCTGGCCTGTTGGTCACATGGAGCCATTGGACGAACTCGCCTGCTGGTCCAATGGAGCCGTTGGACCAATTCGCTAGCTGGTCCAACCGACCGGTTGGACCAACTTGCCTGCTGGTCTAATGGACCGGTTGGACGAACTGGTGGTCGGTCTAATGGAACAGTTGGACAAACTGGTCTATTGGTGCAGTGGACCGCCTATTGGTCCAATGGACCTATTGGACCATCTAGCCTGTTGGTCTAATTGACCGGTAGGACCAACTGGCCTGTTGGTCCAATGGACCGGTGGGACCAACACGCCTGCTGGTCCAAAGGACCTGCTGGTCCAATGGACCGGCTGGACCAACTACCCTCTTGGTCCAATGGACCGGCAAGACCAACTCGCCTGTTGGTGCAATGGACCAGCAGGACCAACTGGCCTGTTGGTCCAATGGACCGGTTGGACCAACTGGCCTGTTGGTCCAATGGACCGGCTGGACCAACTGGCCTGTTGGTCCAATGGACCGGCTGGACCAACTGGCCTGTTGGTCCAATGGACCAGCTGGACCACTTGACCTGTTGGTCCAATGAAGCTACTGGACCAACTCGCCCTCTGGTCCAATGGACCAGTTGGATCAACTCGCCAGCTGGTCCATTGGACCAGTTGGACCAACTTGTGAGGATCTGGTTCAGGAAAGATTGAACTATTGAATGATGCACCTGGGTACAAGGCGAGGCTATATATAGGCTCGACACAAAGGCAGTAACCCTGGTGTTACTAGAAGGTTCCGCGGGTCACGAAGCGTCCCGAACGGGTCCTTCCCGAATTCGGTAGAAGGCAATTCGGTGGCAACTGAAAAGCCTAGAATTCGGTGCACTCAACCTAGTTCGGTGCCTATAACTATAATAAATATAGTAAAAGCAACGAACCTAGGAAATCTAGCAAAGGCAAGCAAAATAAAGCAAAGCTAAGCTAGATAATGCAATATAAAGCATAATCAAGCAAGTAAAGCTTAGCAAAGCCGTCGTACTCTCACACGTCCCCCCCTCAAAGCTGGGTGGCGTGAGATACACCCTGCTTGACAAGATAATCCTTGAGAGCACGGCGTGCGTTGCCCATATCAGCTTCTGCAACCCAACTGTCCTCCGACGGTTCATATCTCTTCCAGCGTATCAGGAACTCGAGCGTGTTGCCGCGTCTGCGTCGATGAGCGAGAACTCGTTCCACCTCGTACTCTGGTTCATCCTGTACGAGAACAGGTGGTGGTGGCAGTAAGTTGTCGTCCTCTGAACTGTTGGTTGGGGTCCTTGTAGGGTTTCAGCAGCTGAACATGGAAAGCATTGTGAAGCTTCCACATAGTAGGTAAGCGCAAGCGGAATGTAACTGGTGTCACCATCGCCTCAACGCGAAAGGGACCACAGAAGCGAGGCCGGAGCTTGGACGGAAAGTGAGACAAGTCCAAGTTTCGTTTGTCGAGAAGCACCTGATCTCCGACTGCTACTGAGTGATCTCGTCGCTGTCGATCGGCATACTGCTTCTGGGAGTTCTGCATCGTGGTGAGACGTCGCTGAGTCTTCTCCCATAGCTGCTGCATGGTGGTGACGAAGTCGTGTGCGGCTTGGACGTGTGCCGGTGTGGTTGGCTGTTGTGGTGTGAGTGGTTCCCGTCCATAGCACAGGAAGAAAGGAGATTTTTCCTGGTGGCTGCATGCAACGCGTTGTTGTTAGCAAACTCAAGCGTTGGTAACTGTTGATCCCAGTGGCTGATGTCGTCCTTGCAAGCTGTGCGCAGTAACTGTTCAACCACCTGATTGAGTCGCTCAGTCTGTCCGTCAGTCTGGGGGTGGTACGCTGAAGACATTGCAAGCTTTGTCCCCAACAATCCCATAAGTTCCCTCCAGTACTTATTAGTGAACTTTGGGTCTCTGTCTGAGATGAGTGTAGCGGGGATGCCGTGGATGGTGATGATGCGGTCGAAGAAGAGTCGAGCAGTTGCTTCAGCTGTAGCGATGGTGTTGGTCGGAATGAAGTGTTCTATTTTGGAGAACTTATCGATCATCACGACTATCGCATCATGCCCTCGTGAGGTCGAAGGAAGCCCAGTGATGAAGTCTAGGCTGACAACTTGCCATGGCTGCTCCGGTACAGGTAGAGGCTGAAGTAACCCTGCTTTTTTCTGCTTGCTACTCTTCATCCGCTGGCACGTGTTGCATGAGGTGACGAACTGCTGCACGTCTGCTGCCATCCGGGGCCAGTAGTAATACTTTGCTATTCCCGCTAACGTCTTGTTGCTCCCGAAATGTCCCGCGTATGCCACATCGTGGAACTCCTCCAGTAAGATCTGTCGGAGCGGGGCATAGTTCGGTACCCAAATCTTTCCCGATCCCTTTCTTACAGCTAAGTCATTTTCCCACTGTAACAGCTTCTGTTTCTCTGCTGTAGCGATCTCTGCGTCCACGGAGTACCCATGTTGGAATAGACCCTTGAGAAGAGGGTTCATCCCGTCGAGCTGGATGCCTGCTACATGCCCGGGGTGGCTCAACGCGTCTCCTTTGTTGTGTAGCCCGGACTTGTAGACGATGTCATAGTGGAAGTGGGTCTCCAAGAAGTCCACCCACCGCACATGTCGTCGTGAGAGCGTCGGTTGCGACTTCAGGTATTTGAGGCTGCATTGGTCAGTATAGACTATAGTCTTGGCTCCCTCTAGGTAACACCTCCACGCCTTGAAGGCTGTGACTATCGCTAAGCCTTCCTTATCAGGGATGGGGTAGTTCAGTTCTGCTCCGTGTAGCTTCTTACTGAGGTAGGCGATGGGCTGCAAACCGCGTCCGTGATCCTGCATCAGTACTGCTCCGACTGCTTGGTCACTAGCGTCTGCTTCCACCACGTAGTCTCTATCTGGATCCGGTAGGATGAGTACTGGCACTGTAGTCAGTGCTGTCTGTAGCTGCTTCATGGCTTGCTGTAGAGGAGAATCCCATTGATAAGGTGTCTCCATTTTAAGTAGGTTGGTCAATGGCGCAGCTATCTTAGCATACTGCGGCATGAACCTGTTTTATTAGTTGGCAAAGTCTAGGAACTACTGCAACTCCTTCACGTTCTCTGGAACTTTCCACTTCTTGACGGCTTCGATCTTCCGCGGGTCCACGTGTACGCCTTCGGCACTTAACATGTGTCCGAGAAACTGCACCTTCTTCAGGGCAAAGTCGCTCTTCGACAGCTTCACGTAGAACTTGTTCTCCCGCAGGATCTCGAAGACTTTCCGCAGATGCTCCACGTGCTCCTTCATGGTTTTGGAGTAGATCAGTATATCGTCTAGGTACACTACCACGGACTCGTCCTGCAGGGGTTCTAGGATGTGGTTCATCTCTGCCTGGAACGTCGCTGGTGCGTTGCAGAGTCTGAACGGCATCACTAAGTATTCGTAGGAGCCATATCTGGTACGGAACGCCGTCTTGTGGATCGAGTTGTCTGCCATCTTGATCTGCCAGTAACCCGACCGTAGGTCCAGCTTCGAAAACACCGTCGCACCACGCAGTTGGTCTAGAAGATCGTCTATGCGCGGTATGGGGTATTTGTTTTTTACTGTCTGTTTGTTCAGTGCGCGGTAGTCGATGCACATCCGTAAACTACTGTCTGGTTTTGGAGTGAAGATAACCGGTGCACTGTAGGGAGAAATGGATGGGCGGATCAGTTGTCTGTCCAGTAGATACTCGATCTGTTTTTTCATGTCTGTCAGTTCGGTTGGACTCAGTCGGTATGGTGCACGTGAGACGGGTTTCGCACCTGGTTCTTCCACGATCTCGTGCTCGTGGGTGCGCGCTGGAGGTACGCCTACGGGTAAGTCGTCGGGCATTATATCTTTGTACTGCTCCAAGACCTCCTTCACTGCTGCAGGAAGCTCCGAACTCGGCTTCTCCTCCTCTGCTGCTGCCATGACCAGTGCTAAGTAACCCGTGTTACTCTCGTTCACCGTCCGTTCGAACCGCGCCAGTGTCGTTTCAGGAACATCCCCTGTATCCGTCCAGCTTCGTAGCTCCACACGTTTCCCGTTGTTGTAGATACACGCCTTCCGGTTGACCCAGTCGATCTCGGGGTTGAACCGCTTAAAAAAAATCACGCCCCAAGATGAAGTCTAATCCCTTGATGTTCGTGATTGGCAACGTCGGCTTCCACCTTAACGCCCCTATCTGCAGCTCTAGTGTTGATTCACCGTGGATGGGAAGCTTCGTACCGTCCACCATTGTTGCTGTAAACTGGGTTTTCTCCGATGACTCTCCAATTTTCTCCAACGTCCCGCGGTAGTTCACCGAGTGGGACGCACCGCTGTCCACCAGTGCCTGGAGGCGTCGCCCGTTGCAGATCACCTCGAGTACTAGTGGCTGCTGCCGCTCTGAGTAGGTGTATTCTCCTTTTTTCGCCCGCTCCGAAGTTGTCACTGCGGAGATAACTCTAGCAACGGGAGCTTGACTACAGGGAAGGCACGTGTGTGAGAGGGATCTCTGCGTTCGTTCCTTAGTCGTTTCCTTGTGCACGTGCTTGCTAGTTAACGGGGGAAATTTGCAAGAGTTCCACTAGGAAAACATCACAACAAAGGTTCAGAATAATCGCAACAACGTTGGCAACACAGACTACATCAGAGCTAGCTAGGCTGCTGGTCGACCTCCAGCGCAGCACGGTCGACCGCGTTCCAGCGCAGCAATGCTCGCACAACTCCAGCGCTGCAGAGATGCGGCGCGCCAACGTTGCATGTCCACGGTGTGCCAACGCTGCAGCAAGTCGGCTGCACAGCGTTGCACCCGCAGGACAACGGTGCACCTGCTTCGCAGGTGTGCGCGGCTGGTTGGCGTCCAACTCCCCGTCACGTGCCCAGCGCAGACATTCCCGCCCGTGACGGCGCCCATCAGCCACGTCGACCTTGGGACACCACCCCCGAGGTTGTCCTCGCAGAAACGTCCCCCGGCGACCTTCGCACACGTCGCCCGGGTATCCCGGTCGACCGGGCAACCCTGTCTGGTCGTCCAGCCTAGTTGGATGTCGGCTACGCCAAGCCCGGCGTCCCCAGGTCGGCGTCCAGGCGCCCAGGACGGCGTCCAGGCGCCCAGGACGCCGAGCAGACGCCCAGCTCGGCGTCCTTCCTCCCAGGACGCCGTGCAGACGCCTACGTCGGCGTCCAGGCACCCAGGACGCCGAGCAGACGCCCAGGTCGGCGTCCACCTGCTCGGCGCCCTTCAACCGGACGCCCCCCCAGCTCCACGCCCTTGCAGTGGCCTCCGTGCCCACTGCTGCAGGTCGGCTGCATCCCCCCGCACAACCGACCACGAGGTCGGCTCCGCCCAAGCGAGGACGGGGCCAAACACCACTCCCGTTGACACTCCCCTGCCGCGTTCACGCTTGGGGCCCCAGCCCACACGGTAGCACAGCTCGGAAGATAGCTTGGTGGCGTGCACACAACACACAGCACGCCGGACACCGCACCAGCCATGCAAGAGGGCATGGCACCTACTACTGCATGTCGTTGTCGCCGTCGTCAACTTCGGCCAGGCGCACTTGGCCGATCGCAACGGAGCACCGGTTGAAGGCCGGGTAGTGCAGCGCCTTCGTCAAGAAGTCGGCCGGCTGCTCGGTGATCGGTATGTAGCTCAACGCGAACTTCCCGCGCCTCACCATGTGCTGCAGCCAAACCTGGCGTCGCTCCATATGCTTGAGGTTGCCCGTCAACCCCATGCCTTCGGCGACCGTGATGGCCGACTTGTTGTCCACCCGAAGGACAGTCGGCTTCCCGGCGTCCAGCTGCCGGAACTCTGCGAGGAGGAAGCGAAGTCGGCGTCCCTCCTTGCCGGCTTCGACGGCCGCCACGTACTCAGACTCGGTCGACGACAGCGTCGCGCACTTGATGCGCTGGCTCGACCAGGAGACTGCGGCCCCTCCGTAGACGAACACGTAGCCGTCCGTGCTCGTCCGGTTCTGCTTGTCGCCGGCATCGTCGGCATCAACGTAGCCGACTAGCTCCAGCGTCTCCGGACCACCAAGGCGGTGTCGCGTATGTTGGCGAGGTAGGCAAGGCAGCGGTCGACCTCGCGCCAGTGCTGGTCACTCCTCACCGTGAGTCCGCTCCCCAGCTTGCTGCAGGCGAAGGCGATGTCCGGCCTCGTCGTCGTCGCCGCGAACTGCAGCGAGCCGACCTTCTGCCGGTACTCCTCCTCCTGGCGTTCCTGCGCCTCCTCGTTGTCGAAAGTGAGCTCGGCGGACAAAATGGCAAAATGGCATGGCGGAGCGAGAGATGCGGACGGTGGTGGAGTCGGTGCGGACGATGCTGTTGCACATGGGCGTGCAGCACCACTGGTGGCACCTTGCTCTGCGGCAGGCCGTCTGGGTCCGGAACTGCCTGGAGCGCTCGTCGCTGCCGCCGGGGACGACGCCATACCAGCTGCTCACCGGGAAGAAACCCGACTTGTCGTCGGCACCGCATGGCGCAGTTCCTGGTCCCCGAGCAGCAGCGCGGTGGGAAGCTGAAGCTGAAGGCCAAGTGACGCGGGAGGAGAGCAAGGGCTGGGAGCTCCTGGACATCGCCGACAACAAAGTGGTCACCACGTCGGATGTGGTGTTCTACGAAACCATGTCACTGGAAGTGTGGAAGTCGACGCATGGGCCGGCGTCAGGGCGGACGCCGGCTACCTCGCCGACGGACTCCTCCACCGCGACACTCCCTCTGCTCGCCGAGGTCGGTGAGCCTGCTGAAGAGGACGCCGAGCACGTTCTCCCTTCTTCCTCTACCCCTGCCATTCCTCCTCCCATGGCCGTTTTGCCTCCGGCGATGCGGGGAGTGGTGGGGCGTCGCCTGTGGCGCCGGCCAAAAGCATCGCCGGTTGTCGAAGTGTCGTTCAACAAGTCGGCGTGGACACGGAGCCGTTGCCGAAGGCAGGGGAGCAGCAGCTGAGGAGGCATCGCCAGGAAAGGTGAAGCCGGCAAAGGGGGCGTCTGCAGGGAAGCCGCCGACAGGGCAGCAGAGGCCGGTGCAGGTGACAGGGGAGTTCACGGCAACGGAGAAGTCGGCTGGGACGCCGGCTGTGGTGCAGCAGGTCGCCAAGGTCAGCGAAGCCGGCGAAGATGAAGGGGAGCAGTCGGAGGCCGGGCAGCCTACTGACAGCGACGTAGTGGGGGTCTGCGCCGGGCAGCCTCAAATGCGACGTTCAGGCTGAGTTCGGCGGCCGCCGGAGCGGCTAACCTACCATGTCTGCCTCCCGCCGGCCGCCTTCACCACGCTGTACGGCAACGACGATGGCAACCAGACGTACAACGACGCCGAGGACGACGAGGAGTTTCCGGAGCTCGACCCCGACATGCACGCCGACCCCGAGCATCGCTGGGACATCGTGACAATGACGGTGAAGGAGGCGTTGGCGAGCTGGAAGGGCGAGGCAGTGAAGGCCGCCATGGAGGAGGAGAACAGCAGTCTGATCGGCAACGGCACGTGGGAGCTGGTTGAGCGGCCCCCCGGTGTCAACATCATGAACAATCGGTGGGTGCTGATGACGAAGTACCGCATCGACGACACCGTAGAGCGCGAGAAGGCGAGGCTGGTCGTGAAAGGCTTCACGCAGGTATATGGCGCTGACAACGACAAGACGTACGCGCTGGTGAGCAGCTACGTCACGCTGAGGATCTTCCTCAGCATCGTCGCCGTCCTCGACCTCAACCTGATGCAGCTGGACATGAAGAACGCCTTCCTGCAGAGCAAGCTCGACCGCGTGCTCTACATGTACCAGCCGGACTACTACAATGATAAACACGGCCGGGTGTGCAAGCTGCCGAAAAGCCTCTACGGGCTGAAGCAGTCGCCGCTGTTGTGGTACAAGGCACTCAACGAAGTGCTGGTCGGCGCGGGCTGGAGGAAGATTTAGGTCGACGAGGCGCTGTACTTCAAGGTCGGCGCCGACAAGGTGGCTTGCTGGGTGCTGGTCTACGTCGACGACCTGCTCGCCGCCAGCAGCAGCACCGCGATGTTGAGGGAGCTGAAGGAGCTGCTGGAGGCCGCCCTCGAGCTGTGCGATCCCCTTGCCATCCACGAAGGCGGTGAACTCCTTCCTGAGGAACTCCCCTCCACAGTCAGATCGCAGCTACAGCACCGACTTCTTCTCCTGCCGCTCGACCATCACCAGCCACTGCTTGAACTCCCGCAACACGTCCGACTTCTTCGCGACCGGCCTCACCCACACGTAGCGGGTCTTGCAGTCCTTCAGCAGCAGGAAGTACAGGCTGCCATCCTTGGCGGCCACACGAAACGGCCCGCACAGGTCGATGTGCACGACAGCCAGGGCGTCCTCGGCGTCCGAGCCTTTGTCGGGGAAGGTGTGCCGCGCCAGCTTCCCACCGACGCACTGTTGGTGTAAGGGCCTAATAAACTCAAGCGATAAGGACTTAATCAAACTTAAAACCTCTCGTCGGGGTCACCTCCAAGGGTCCCTGGGTGCCTGGCACAAGACCAGCCCCTATCCTCGGGTCCGAGTTTGTAGAGAGAGGAGTCAAGAAAGACTTAGCCAAAATAACAAGAGTACCTTGAACATCGCGCAGCGTGCCGTGCAGACCGTCGATCGGATTAAGCTGAGAATTCGCTATATC